AGTTCAGATTGGAGTGTTATTAAGCAAGGAAGCAGGGGAGCCATCTCGCGCTTGTTGGGAGGCTCGAAGGCCAGTGACTTAATTAAATGGAGAGCAGCTGCTTCAGGCTTATGGTGTGCGGGAGGCAGGGGGGCTAGCTACACAGGGAAGATTTACTGAGCCTATTTGAAATGGTAGGTGAGAGTCTTTAGACAGTTATCAGCATCGAGACCCATCGCATTGGCAATTCCACCCAGACCCCCCGAGCACCCTAAAAATTCCTTCTTTGTCCATCCATTCTACTGAACATACAAACAGGACTTCTAAGTAGATTACCAGGAATAACAATCAGACAGCAGCCCTATAATTAGTCAGCTAAAAAGCTTTGTTGAAATGAGGACAGTGATATTTCAAAGAGCGTCTTTTTTGAGGAAGAGGAAATTTGCCTGGGCTGTGGCTATGTTAGGAGGTGAAGCCACGGCCTCCTTCTCCTCACACTTGGGAAGCCACATTGGTGGTGCTGTCCTTCTGCAGGGACCTATCTGCCTTGGAGGTGGGGCAGTGTCTGGAACCAGACCCCAGGCAGGCAGGTCTCTTCCTTGAACAGTTCAGAGGGAGGAGGCAGGGCAGGGTGTGAGTCCTGCAGGCTGCGGGCAGTCAAGTCGATTCCAACTCATAGTGACTGATAGTTAGAACTGCCCCATAGGATTTTCTAGGCCATAACCCTTTCAGGAACAGATCTCCAGGCTTTTCCTCCCATGGAGTCGCAGGGTGGTTTCGAACTGCCAATCTTTTTGTTAGCAGCTGAGTGCTTAACGGTTGTACTATCAGGGCTCCTAGAGTCAAAGCAAAGAGGCAAGGTAATGTAGGGTTGGGGTGGCATGCAGGGGGCCAGAGCAAGGGGCTTGATCTCTCCCTGGGGGAGCCCCAGACCCCTCTAAGCCTTGGGTCCTCCATCTCGAGTCCGCAGTGAGCATTAGCTGAGAGAAGGCCTGTGACTGGCTGAGCCCAGTGCCCGGCGTACAGCAAGCCCCTCATGCCTGTGTTTCTGTCTCCTGCTTCTTTTCAGGAGCAAAACGAGGGGCAAGACAGTGGCTCAGAGCAGGACTAGGAGTGACTCTGCGAAGGCACTGGGCTGTGATCCAGAGAGCAGAAGAAGGGGAAGGGGCTGCTTAAATGGCAAAATGCCCCCACGGGCAGAGTCCAGCTGCTTTCTTTCCCCTCTGAGGTGCCAGTGAGGACGTAGCTCTGGGCACTTCTTCCACTCTCTCTTCTGAGCCCCCTGCCTCTTCACACACACACCACCAGACTCTCAGGACCCTGGGCCCCCTCACTGCTGATAGCCCCTCCTCCCAGCTGCTATCCCTTTCTGGGAATTGCCCTCACCCGCCCACAGGGAAATGCCTCACCCAAGCCGCCCCTCCCAGGGGGCACCCTGAGGCCCATAATTGGATAATGACAGGAAACCTTTCAGTTTGGGACGGCTCTACAGGGCCACCCAGCCCCAGAGCTCTCCTCAGATCTTCTGGAACTCATGGTGGGTGAGCTTCACCCTCCACCCAACCCTCCATCCTCCTTTCCTTACAGGCACATCTCTCCTGAGCACTCCCCAAAAGCCGTCTGCACACAAATCTAGGGAGCCCAATCTAAGACAAACCAGTCTCTCAGTCATCTGTTGTCCTTCAGCATAGCTCACTCATTGGAACTCCCAGGCACCTTCTTTCCACTAAAATGCAGCCATCCTGTATCCCAGTGATGGGAAAATAGGTGCCGATAGTTAACGTGTTGGCCAATAAAAATAATTATCATTATGGGAACTGACACTTATGTACAGCTAACAATCTACAGAGCACATTACACGCTTTCATTTCATTGTAAGGCAGGATAGTATGGTGATCTCTAAAGTGATTCTGCCCAGAATCTTGTGAATCTTAACCCTACATTTTAGTCTTGTGACCTTAGGCCAGCTATATAACCTTTCTGTTGCTCAATTTTCTTATCCATAAAATGAGGCTATTAATTATCCCTTCCTCATAGAGTTATTGTTAGAATTAAGTGGGTCAATACATGTCACGATCTCAGAATAATCCTGGCTCTCATAGTAAGTATATAGTAAAAATAAAAAACAGTTGCCATCAAGTTGATTCCGACTCATGGTGACCTCATGTGTGTCAGAGAAGAACTGTGTGTCATAGGGTTTTCAGTGGCTGATTTTTCAAAAGTAGATTGCCAGGCCTTTCTTCCAAGGTGCCTCTGTTAGCAACAGAGCATATTAATTCTTAGCACTACCCAGGGACTCCAAGTACATAGTATCTGTTACCCAAACCAAACTAAACCGATTGCCATCGAGTCAATTCCGACTCATAGCGACCCTATGGAACAGAATAGAACTGCCCCATAGGGTTTCCAAGGAGCAGCTGGTGGATTCAAACCATTAGACCTTTTGGTTAGCAGCCTGAGCTCTTAACCACTGCGCCATGAGGGCTCCTAGTATACATTAGTTTTTTTTGTATTTGATCCTCATAACAACCCTGTGAGGCTATTAGAAGTGCTACCTAATGTGTGGAATACTTCTCATGCCCCACCTGACACTCTCTCAGCCCACCTTTTCACTCCAGCCATTGGTACAGCCGCCTGCACAGGTGTAGCCCAGCAGCACTTGGCTCAGTCTCTTACTTTCTGCCAGGGCTTCTCTGCCACCTACTTCCACCTGCGATGCCTGTGGAACCCACTCAGTCATTCTGACCCAAGCAAACCTGTAAGTGTGAAGGAATTAGCGCCCTTGAACAATGGGGAATTGGAGCCAGTGGAGAAACACTGCCTTCTCCCACTCCTTGAGGGGATAATTCTCTCCCATCTGGATCCAAGTTCAGTTGCCCACAGAAGTGGCCAGCACAATAGCACACCCCAGGTAGGCTATGCCTTCTTCCCTGTTTCACTCTTCCCAGTTGTCCGCTCCTGTTAAGATCACTTCTCAAAATAAACTACCCACACACAAGCCCTTGCCTCATGCTCTGCTTTTTGGGGAACCATATAACTGTGCACATGAAGAGAGTAAAAGACTAAAAAGAGATTTGTTCAACATCCATAATCAGATCTGAACTCAAGTCAGAGTCTTCCACCTCCTGAATCTCAAGCCCCCACACTGTGCCTCCTCCCAGTTGATACAATGCATTTTAACACAGGCCTTCAGAAGTTTGATTAGGCAATGGGAGGCCAAGTGAAAAATGTCTATGAACCGGTCACTTCAGACACCTTCATATCACAGCCCTCTTTTCTCCCTGCATAGAGCCAGTCCTGCCCAGCAAGAGGGTGGTATCTTAGTTATCTAGTGCTGCTATAACAAAAATACCACAAGTGGCTGGCTTTAACAAAGAGAAATTTATTCTCTCACAGTCTGAAAGACTAGAAGTCCAAATTCAGGGTGCCAGTTCCAAGGGAAGGCTTTCTGTCTCTGTTGGCTCTGAGGGAAGGTCCTTGTCATCAATCTTCCTCTGGTCTAGGAGCTTCTCAGCGCAGGGACCCTGAGTCTAAAGGATGGGCTCCCCTCCTGGTTCTTTATTCTTGGTGGTAGGAGGTCCCTCTCCTCTCTGCTGGCTTCTCTCTTTTATGTCTCAAAAGAGATAGACTCAAGATAAAACCTAATCCTGTAGATTGAGTCCTGCCTCATTAACATAACTGCCTCTGATCCTGCCTAATTAACATCATACAGGTAGAATTTACAACACATAGGAAAATCACATCAGATGACAAAATGGTGGACAACCACACAATACTGGGAATTGTGGCCTAGCCAGGTTGATACACATTTTTGGAGGACACAATTCAATCCCTAATTTGTGGTGAACAGTGATTCCAGTTGACTGTGTCTAATTTGCCTTTGTATCACCAGCACTCAGCTCAGGGCCTATTATATAGTAAAAACGAGTTGCTATCAAGTCATTTCCAACTCATGGTGATCCCATGTGTTTCAGAGGAGAACTGCACTCCTTAGGGTTTTCACTGTCTGTGATCTTTCAAAAGTAGATTGCCAAGGCTTTCTTCTGAAGTGCCTCTAGGTATATTTGAATCTCCAGCCTTTCAGTTAGCAGCTGGGTGCTTAACCATTTGTGCACCCAAGAACTTCATCATATAGTAGGTGCTTAGTAAATGTTTGCTGGACATGCAGATCCAGAAATCAAACTATTGATGGTTTGCTTTTTTTTTTTATGGTGGTAAATATATAACAAAACATTTGCCATTTCAACATTCTTCACATGTACAATTTAGCAACATTAATTATGTACAACATCTTGTAAAACCATTACCATTATTCATTTCCAAATTTTTCCATCACCCTTAACAGAAACTCAGTGTCCCCTAAGCAGTGAGTGCCCCCTTCCCTCTCCCTCCCACTCATCCCTGGTAACCACTAACAAACTTAGGTCTGTATACACTTGCTTATTTTAGGTATTTCACATAGGTCTGCTTTTTAACAATTACTTTTTTGCGTGAGCATGTCTGTTCCTATACTTATTGCTTATTTTTTATGCTGGTTTCGAATGTACTCTTGGATGAACAGAGGACATTGTGTTTGTTTACCTTGTTACCAAGCTAAATTAATATAGAACCATGTATCTGAAAAGTATTCAAGAAATACTGGTTGATTGACTGATGAAAGAAATATCTAGGAGGTATCTCAAACTGGTGGCTTGTAGGACAGTGTAGCTGTAAGGCACGTAGGTTTGGCCAGCACAGTGTTAATTGGTTTATGTTGAAGTTCCTCTGATCTATGCCACAGGCCCTACCACAGCATCCTGCCTGTCCCAATTCTCAGATTGGTGTTTCCTGCCTTGTCCTTGTAGGTATTTGGGCTTGTGACCCCTGCACAGAGTGACACACGACAGGGTATTACTGTATAGAAAGAGTTGAAGGAGCTGACCACACAACCCCTTTCTTGGGCTTCTTCCATCCTCTTCCTGTAACTCACTCAGCTTGTCCCCACTGTCATCATCATGATGACATGATGTCCTGCCTTACAGGTACTATAAGATCAGCGTGGTGCTCATGTGCTTCGTGGTCCCCACCCTGGTGCCATGGTACATCTGGGGAGAGAGTCTGTGGAATTCCTACTTCTTGGCCTCCATCCTCCGCTATACCATCTCTCTCAACATCACCTGGCTGGTCAACAGTGCCGCCCACATGTACGGAAACCGGCCCTATGACAAGCACATCAGCCCTCGGCAGAACCCACTTGTCACCCTGGGTGCCATTGGTGAGTAGGGTGTTGAGAGGCAATGGGGAGAGTGGCAGCTCGGATTTTCTTGGCTTCTGCATTGTTTTGTGGAATCTGTAAAGAGGCAGTGGAGTGGAGTGGAGTAGAAGGAACTTGGCCTTTGGAGTTAGAATCCTAGATTTTGGACAAGTCACTTAATCTCCCTGATTCACAGTTTTCTCATCGTAAAACAGAAATAAGAATGCCTATGTAATGGAGATTTTGTGAGGATTAATTAAGATACTATAGGTAAACTGATTGGTACAGTACCTGGCACCTAGTGGATGATCAATAACCAGTAACCCGTTGCTGTTGAGTTGGTCCCTGCATGGTACAAACTGTTAACACTTGGCTGCTAACTGAAAGGTTGGCAGTTCAAGTCCACCCAGAGGTGCCTCAAAAGAAAGACCTGACAGTCTACTTCCAAAAAATCAGCCACTGAAAACCCTGTGAAGTACAGTTCTGCTCTGACACACGTGGAGTTGCCACAGGTGATCAATAATCAGTAGCTCTGTTTACCATAAACATTTTCCTAAAGAAGAAGCAGAAGTTTACTTTTCTCCCGACCTGCCATGACCACAGCTGTCTGATCATTTGGCAGATCATAGAGATAAAAAGACCTTCAAGCAGAGAGAAGGGAAGAAATGAGATCTCCATGTTGCAATGTACCACAAAATGGTTAAGAGCAGCTGGTTTGATTGAGTCCCAGTTCCCCCACCTACCCTCTGGGCAAGTTATCTGGCTTCTCAGGGCCCTGTGTCCTCATCTGTAAAGTGGTGATAATAGTAGCACTTACCTCCTCCCAGGGTCTTTGGAGGGCTAGATGAGTTAATACATAGTGCTTGCAGAAGCACTTAGCACAAAATAAGCCTTCAGTAATGTTGCTTTCATTACTCGCAGTGTGGTCTTGGGCAAGTTACTTGTCCCTGCTGTGGTTTTACTCCCTCATTTTTAAAATGGGGATAACTATGGTAGCTAGCTCAGAGGTGTGAGGATTATAGGAGTTAGTACCTGTTAAAGGACTTAGGTTGGCTGTTTGAACCCACCCAGAGGCCCCTCAGAAGAAAGGCCTGGCCATCTGCTTCTTGAAAACCCTGTGGAGCACAGTTCTACTGTGCACACATGGGGTTGCCATGAGTTGGAATTGACTCAATGGCAATTGATTTTAAAGCACTTGCAACTGTGCTTGGCACACAGTGAGGAATAAATATTCTCTGCTGCTTTTTAGAAGCAACTCGGCTTCTTGGCACCTAAGCCTTGAGCACAGAGACTAAATCCAGGAAGGGCAGTGTCATGGATTGAATTATGTCCCCCCAAAAATGTGTGGATTTGG